TAATATTTATTTGGCTACAATTGGCTGATTGCCAGGTGGTAGCCATAACCCTACAGTTTTACAACATATGAACAGTTATAATTCAAAAACAATTTACAATACACTCCTTTCGAGCATACACTCAATATGTAAACAGACCTGTATACATCTATGGCGTACCTCCCGTTTCCAAATAGTTCCCGAAGCGACCCTGGCGAGGGTGTCCCCGAGGCAGCGCAAGGTGCGCCGCAGGCGGCACAGGGGACGAGGGCGAAACGCGGTCCCCCGGCGGCGCCTTTGAAGCCCCCTCCCACCTGTTGGGCTTCCGCCACCGGCGGCGACCGCAAAGCGGGCGAGCGCGAGGGCGAGGGCGAAGGCGGGACAACGCAGGGCGATGGGGCTCAAGAATGCTCAAGGCACGCCGCCTTCAGCGCGTCAATGGGCGCCAACGAAAGTCATCTGGCTCAACAGCTCGCGACACAATGTTACGACACTTTATTTGCGGTTCAAAGATGCCGCACCGCGCTCTCGCCGACTGGTTTTGCGTCAGTGTAGTTCAAGTTTTAAGCCAATTCGTTGGGACGTTCGGGTGACAGTTTCGGAAATCGATTTCGGTGTCAGATCAGAAGGAACTGGTAGCTTCTTTCCACCATTTTCACAAGACGATGCGATATTGTTTCATGTTCTTTACCTAATTACTCAAATAAAAACGTATCTTCAATATTTGAAATTGTTTTTTGTTGTTAGTATTTTCAATGATCTGTTAAATCTATATCACACTTCTCGCTATGTAGTGCTTTTCAAAATATGCAATCGTTCAAGCGTTGGAATGTTTCTGGTATAATAATTTCAATAAAGGTACTACTATAATGTCTACATTGATGGTTTATATTTATAGAAATTAAACAAAAACTATGTTTAACTTCCTAGGGAATGTTTTCTCATGACAGCCCAGCTTTGAGAAACCTATTATTTTATGCACTTTCAAAAGCTTGTGAAGCTTGTGAAGTAGTGCCCTAGCAATCTCAGACCAAAGGATCGCGGGTTCGAGTCCCCCCTCGGGCATGGTTGTATTTTGTTCGTCCTTTCACATCCCTATTATCAAATCGTGTCATCCTCATAGTTACCATGCCGTTACACACAATAGTGGCCGCTAATGACCTTGTAGTTGATGCGACCTTAAATTAAAAAAAAAAGATTGTTGGTTTTCATTGATGAATGTAAATTTTATGTTACTGAGGATGACTGATTCCAAGCAAGACGATGTTGAGGCAAGACCGATGTTGAGGGAAGACCGATGTTGAGGGAAGACCGATGTTGAAATAACACTGATGTCGGGAGTCATTTAAGAATGTGCGAAATTATAAATCAGTTGACCAAGTTATATATTTATCATATTAAATTACGAACCGAATGAATATTACTCTCCTGAAGACCGACCAGGAAACAGAAGGGTGAATACGTTCAGTTTGTTTGACATTCTGAAATATGAAGACACTTGTTATATCACATCCCTGTCTCTAGCTGGACGAAGTGAGCAAGTTAATTGACAAGTTGACTTGAAGAAGAGCGAGTAGCACCTTGCGCAATCGGTAGCCGGAGACAACACGCGTGACGAGCATGAGCGAACTTCGCCTTAGCAGTGGACGTGCTCCTAAGCACTTATGAGGGAGCATGCGACCTACAGACGCTGCAAAATACACACGGTGTCAATGATCCCGACTAGCAACATAGAAAATTCAAGAGGTGCCCCTGGCAGTGTGACGTCGATAACTGTTCACAAATAGGGGTGTTGCTGCAATGATGAGTAGATGATTGTTGATTGTTGAATATCAATATGATTGTTTGTTATGTTGTGATGATGTATTGATATGTTGTGAATATGATTGTTTAATACGATATTAAGAACAAAGTATCGTTACGTCGATATTAGCGATCTTTTGCGAATTTTACATCCTTTTACACGGATGATTTTTTTTGCATTTTCCACTTGTCTGCACAAATATATTGATTTGTTCCGCCTTACACCTGATACATAACTAGTTTTTAATTTCAAATTCTTTGACATAAATACAAGTTTTAGGAATTGTTAAAAATCAACCCAAACCATTTTTTTTTAGAATTCCTATTTATATTATTTTAACTTCCGTTGCAGCCTGCGGGGGAAACAATTCGATATTTCCATTTCATAATTTAAATGTTCAGTTTTGAGACTAATCCAACTGCGTATGTTCTTCAGTTCCCGCTAAAGGACATACACATCTTCAAGCATCACTCGCCCACCTGACTTGCATCGGATGTAAACCTGTCGTCATTGCATTGACCCTCATTGAGGGAATTAACATGTTTTCAACTAGCAGAAGCCAGGCTAGCGAGCGGGATTCTGGGAAGTGAGAGGTTGATGCGCTCGGTGTATGTGCAGGGCAAGACCATGGGTTTTTCGGTTTGTAAATTTCCATTTTGAGCTCAATGCAATTCCTCATATTCCAACCATAAAGCACCCGCACCAGGGTCTTTCATAGCTTGAAGCACCGCCCGCAAACCTGGCTTGCACCGGTTGAAACCCCGTCGCCACCGCACAGTGTCAGTTACAAGCGGCGACAGCCAGGCTCGCGAACGGCGCTTCAGTTTGGAACGTTAGCAGTGAGTTGGTGCGCTGGGCGTGTGCGCAGGGCAGGGCCGCGTCAACCAGCTGGGCGGCGTGTTCATCAACGGCCGGCCGCTGCCCAACCACGTGCGCCTCAAGATCGTGGAGATGGCGGCGGCGGGCGTGCGGCCGTGCGTCATCTCGCGCCAGCTGCGCGTGTCGCACGGCTGCGTCTCCAAGATCCTCAACCGCTACCAGGTGAGACGCTGCTCCTCGCTCAACCCCGACCCTCTGCATGTGCAATTCTCTGGTTGATCCATTGATTAATTGTCAGTGTTTCCAGGCGCGTCAACTGATAAAGTAATTAGTCCCGTAAGAGTAGTGCATGATTTTCATCAGGAGGTGGCTGTGGTTTCCTCCCGCTGGATGGCGAGATCCGGCGCTGACCTATCGTCGACTAGCGGGGTTTTCCCCAACCAGGTGTCTCCCAACAGCAGGGCACTGCTTTTGGGAGAAGCTCTACGCTCCAGACGGGTCTCCTGACATAGTGTTCTGCATGATCGTGTGTGTGTAAGTGAGGGGTGAAGATAGGACCATGAAAGGGAAGGAAAGATCGCGCGCAGTCTGTGACCCGTTTGTTAAGGTACTGCTCAATTTGTCGTGGAGACGACTGATTCGCACCGGCTGAGTTCAGCCCAGAGCCTGCCGCTGTTTGCCGCTGTCTCTCCAGCGACTCTGACCAGAAAGTCCTAGGGTTCGAATCGCGACGGTCGGTACTAGCTAAATAGCTGGGTCGAATCCAATCACTGGTGAAGACTTCTATAAGCCAGCTGCTCTGATAGATAGTTTTTCATAGTTTCTCTGGTCAGCACCAGCTGAATGTAGGAGCTGTTCCCTAACACACTGGTCACGGAACGCCCGCAATCTTCCCTTTCTCTTCTCTACCCTAACCTCTCCCCTCGCACGCACACACACTTACACGCACTAAACTACCACACATGTCGGGAGACTAGTCTGGAGCTTGCCATGCTGGGGCGGTGTCCCGCCTGGAGGAGATACCTGGAGGAGCCACCAGCCGACGTGTAGTTCGTCGCCGAATCCCACCAATCAGCGGCAAAAGAACGCCACCACATCAAGCGATAACAACATCTACTACACTAATACAAGTAATGACCATAGCAGTTGCTGTGCCCGGAAATATCAAACAAAGACGGACATGCGGCAGGTTTTCTTGGGATTCTCCAACGACTTGCAATAAAACTATAGACATACACTGTATTGTTGGGGAGTTCTCCACTTTCCCTTGCAGCTTTCTCTATCAGTGCTTCATCATCATCACATGATCATTACAGCATGAATTTTGATGGAGAGATGCAGGCGTCCCAAGTCAATATTTTGTTCCCTGCTGGAAGTTGATGTTGTTACCAGCTGTAAAACTATTAATTAGTTCTTGCCACGATCACAGTCTATTTCTTGATTTTTCATTTCTTATTTCCACGCTTTGAAAGTGTTTAATTTAAGGAATCAAACTCAAGAAAATTTGAGATGGTAGCAATGGGAAAGCTTATCTTTCTAGTTACTTTGGTTATCAGACCTATTGAGAAGATAACCGTCAGAATATTCATTTCAATGCTTGTATTTAGAAGTCATATATTTGTATCATCTAATTCACAGTATAAAAAAATTAAAATTTGGTTATGTGATGTCAGTCTGTTCAATTGTCTTTTTAGTACTTAAACGTCCTTAGAGAAAATTGCCAAATCACTCCCTGAGTCTTCATCATCTATGCATCAATTCATTAATCTACCTCATATATGGCCTTTTCTAGAACTATAGTAAAGAGTGGCTACTCTGCTTTCTTCACCCACATTGCAAAGTGCGTTACAGTTTGTCACCATTGTACTTTTTACGCCATCTCGGCTATATTGAGGGAAATACAGAAATGGAACGAAAAATAAGGTCGACATTTAGATCGTAAAATCCGTTTTCTGAGTCACTGAGACCCATTTATCATGCATCTTGTGCGATAATATATCGAAATTTATATATTGAATAACACTCAAGAAATATTTTTATAATTTTTTCTTAACCATTAAAACCCCATATATATTACGTGGGAAGTATTAATATTACATCATCTTTGAGTAAGACCTAACATACACAATTATGAATAAGAAGAAATTTATCTGAACCTCAATGTGATAATTTCAGTTGTAATTTTTTATTATATGATAATTAAGTGAGTTGTTTGTGAGCTATAATCGTCAAATTAATCTCTCCGCAAAACCACTTTCATTACACGAATCTCCAGCGTATAACCGGTGCCTCCAGGTGGGAAGTGCAACGAGTATTTTCGCAGTTCCTCCTCCTCTTCCTCCCCCTCAGCGACTGCAGGTGGTGGGTGGTATAAACACACATAATGTGTAAAAAACGTAAGATTAAAAACTTATGTTGACTACAAAGGCAAACCTAAAAGAGTTACTTCCACAATATCAGCAAGACAGGAAGCAATGCTTTTTGTAAGTTGTCTAGTTTTGTATTGAGCCTTCATCATTCTCTTTATACAGAATATAAAAACACTCTCAAACATTTAAACATATTTAGATTATAAATTTCTTGTTCACGTTTCTGCATAAATTTGTGTGCCAAATGTAATCTTTGGAATTCGTCAACGTCAAATAAGGTAATATTATTCTTGTCACAGGAACACACTAGTTTAGTTTGGAATTTGTGTTTATTTATTTATTTATTTATTTAGATTGTGGCTTAGTACTTGACATGCATAAAGCCAAGTGAATTATAAATTTAATAACGATGATGTATATTTTGATAGCTTGACGTAATAGTTATTTACGATACGAGTGGTAGCAAACGACATTTTATTGTGTGAGTAGGAAATGCCGCGACTCGAGGCCGATAGGCCGAGTGGCGCAATCTCAGGAGATAAATAAAACCACCTTTAAGGCGTGTGTCATACACTATTTTTTGACAGCCTTACTGACTTTCCTTTTATTTTAATTCAAGCATTCACACCACTATTTAGGTTAACATCAGTTGTAGCTGATTTAAATATTTAATAAATAAATTACTCGAAAGTTTTTCGATTTCTTCATTGCATTCACAGTTTTATCTGATTTATTTAGCATTGTCTCACTTTTATCTCTAGTGCCAAAATTGAACTTTTAGCAAGCTATGCATCCCTTAAACGTAACACCATTTACTAGAGGCTAGTACAATACATTTCCTGGAATATATATATATATATATATATATATATATATATATATATATATATATATATATATATATATGGTTGGTGTTCGTACAGCCTGATGCTCTGATCAGTTGTTTGCTGTGATTTCTCCGATCAACACCAGGCGAATACCGGAGCAGTACTTTAGCAAACGAGCCACGGACAGCGCGCGATCTTTCCTTCCCCTTCACTGTCCTATCCCCATACGTATCCACGTACACTTACATTCAGTAGACTATGACGTATGTCGGGAGACCAGACAGGAGCTTAAAGCGTGTCCCGGTTGGGGCGGTGGTGATGCCTCGTAGGGGAAAATCCCGCGAGTCGACATCGGACCTCGCCATTCAGCTGGGGAAATTCACCACCACCACATCACGCTTTGAAAACATACACTATACTTACGGGAATAGCGCAGGGACCTTATTAGTCGACGCTGAGGAAATTCGCCACCACCTCCCGCGTTAAAACAAGCACTACACTTACGGGACAAGCGCAGGGCCTTATTAGTTGACGCTGGGGAAATTCACCACCATTTCCCGTGTTGAAAACATGCACTATACTTAAGGGAATAGTACAGGGCCTTATTAGTTGACGCTGGGGAAATACACCACCATATCCCGCGTTGAAAACATGCACTATACTTACGGGACTAGTGTAGGGGGGTGCTTATTAGTTGACGCTGGGGAAATTCACCACCACTTCCCGCGTTGAAAACATGCACTTCGCTTACGGGACTAGTGCAGGGTCTTATTAGTCGAAGCGCCCGGAGCCATCAAGGGCTGGCGCCGTGCGGCGCGAGCAGCGCGTGCTGAGTCCGCGCCGTTGTGCCCCCGCAGGAGACGGGGTCGATCCGGCCGGGCGTGATCGGCGGGTCGAAGCCGCGCGTGGCCACGCCGCAGGTGGAGGCGCGCATCGAGCAGTACCGGCGCGAGCAGCCCGGCATCTTCAGCTGGGAGATCCGCGACCGCCTCGTCAAGGAGGGCGTGTGCGACAAGGCGAGCGCGCCCTCCGTGTCGTCCATCAGCCGCCTGCTGCGCGGCGCGCCGGGCCTGCCCGGCCGCCGCGACGCCGCCGGCGCCGACGCCGCCGACCCACGCCGCAACCACTCCATCGACGGCATCCTCGGTGAGTCAGACAGCTTTCCCACTCATTTAACATACGTTGTCTTAAGGCCGCAACATTACGAAACTCAAGTCGGGGTCGTTTAATAATAATAATAATAATAATAATAATAATAATAATAATAATAATAATAATAATAGGAATATTGCTGTGCTAATACTCCACGTGGCACTATCAACATCAGTGTGTCATATTTTGCTAAATGAATAGTCATATTTAAACGATGATTATTGTTAATTGAAATGTTTACAAAGTGAACATAACGTTGTACAATATTCGTATAATTATGTTATTAAAATAGTAGGCTGTAAACAATTTAAAGGCGACGTTTGATAGGGCTTCCTATCTTACAATATCTTACGATGCTTATTTTCTAAATAACTATCACTTCACGTGAACAAATCTAGGAGTACTAAGTTCTACTTTAAATGAAATGGAATATAATATTAATATAAAACTAATTTATATATCCTTATATAATTTAATAAAAATATGAGGTGGATGTTAATTTCTGTTATATTTACTTACGTTCAATTAAAGTGTATTAAATTAAGGGGAAAATTCTTAGTGGATTCGTTAATTGAATGTTTCTTGACTGATCTCTTCTAATTCACAAACTGCCCTTATTCCCTAATGGGCGGCAATGTCTGGCCTACAAGGGAAGTCTAGGCGTTATTTATCTGGCTTGTTTATAACGCTTTAAGTTACGCTTTTACTACTTTTAGAAAACTAATTCAATGCTTTCCAATATATTTTGAATTCTATATGCTATACACAAATGGTACTACAAAAAGGTACATCAAAATCGTAAACCATTGGAAGCGCAAAAAAGAACGAAGGATCTAAATGCGAACACGGCCAGTTTAACTCTCTTTGTAAGAAAAATATTAAGTATGTACACTTCTTGGCAAATCAACCATAGAAAACCTGTTGCAGATTACAGTTTTTCCTGTTTGCGATGACTTTACGAAGCAGTTATTTCGCGGTCATTACGAACGTCTGTGAAATACTGCTCAGATAGTGAAATAGAAAAGCTAAACAAAAATAAAGCAACGAACTATCATGGTGTTTATGCTATGGATCAAGGAACATTGCAATCAACGGATTGAGCCACTGTGGTCCTTCGTTTGTGCCCGCTTTTGTTAATTTATTTTATGTGACAAAATAAAAAATACGCTTATACTACATGCCTATAAATAGAATACAAATTAGAAGAGTTTAACATTGTTGATTTACAAAAACTGATAAACGTATTGGCAATATATTTGATAAACGTTCAAACATTCGTAAGGATATTAAAAAATGTCATAAATTGCGCATTGATGGGTTTAAGTTGAGCTGCAGTTCAGATACTTTAAAGAGTAGATATTTGAGGAAAAATATTGAAATACACGTCCTAATAAGAATGCCCAAATGATTGTATTTATTTTAAGCGTTTTCCTGTACCATTTTGTGACATTTACGGTAATTTCATTGTAATCGTACATCTAGGTAATAAATCTCCCTCAGCGAATACCATTTACAGTCGTCTGAGATTTAACTTCATTAGTCTTCCCCAGTGTTCTCATAATTTAACTGAAAATTAAGAAATCCCTAAATACGATTGCGAATGTTGAGACGTTTCGTCAAGACAAGCACGGTGTAGACTAATTTCGAATACACAATGAGCATTTTTATCGCTTCTTACATAATTAGCAGAGGAAAATAATGCACGACTTTAAGAGATACTGTCGTTTAAGGGGTCTTTTACACATTAGAAGCGCTAATTTCGGGTAGTTATCTTGCCTAATTGGTAGCGCACTAAACACATGTATAATACCAGTTTCATTGAATTATCACATTTAAGCAACATGAAGCCAGGGAAGAGAATTGTTGGGCAACCATGCAAAAATTATTTGCATTGCGGAACACGCGTGCGTCTTGAAGGGGGATATAGTTCAATGTATAAAAGAATCATACAGAGACGTGTAGATGTTGCGTTATCAGTGCCATAAATTTTATGACGATTGGATATTCTGAATTCTATTTTAACTGTGCCTAACAGAATAATTTCTACTGATTATTTTCTCCACATCTTTCCCCTTGCGCAAATCGTTTACCCATTTTAATTAACTTTTATTTCGCCTTTCGTACTCACCACATCTCTTTTGAAGGAAAGGTGTTATTTTGTTGGTTCTCCAAAGTATTTTCATGTTCGGATGAACGATTATTGTGTGAAATAAGTCAGGAGGCAGATAGCTAGTGTTTATTGATTATTTTCATGTAAAGTAATCGTTGAAAATTTAAATACACAACGCTCTCAATAAAGTATTCCAAATCCTTTAGTATTTACATAAAATCGAGAAGAAAAATATAGGGGTCCCCTTCAGGGTTTTTTTCCTGAGCCGTACCTTATGGTTTCTTTTCCGCGGCTTTGATGCGATGGAGAGACCATTTGGGGTGAATACCAGAATTCGAAAGATTAGAACGCGAAAGGATGTAGGTATTGTAATGGCTTAAAGGCCTTCGGCCTAGCCACATAGGATCAAGTAAGCTAATTTGTCTGTAATAATTACCTATTAAATAAATAAATAAATAAATAGTTATTTTTAAATTTCAAATTCTTATACTGCGAATTTTACGAGTATTTCGCCAATGAATACAGACATTCTAAACGAAACGTAATAAGACATTTTTTTAAAAAACAAAAGATAAACGTGCAAGACAAGCAGATCACATGACTAAATTCAAAGACCACATGCAGACCAAATGCACAGGCAGTTCACATGACTAGATTCAAAAACATCCATTAGTGTGAAAAATATATCAAAATTTCGTCAGCTTAATGACGGAAATTTGCTCATCAAGCACCCCGCATTCCGAAAGAAACCCCTGGTACAGGCGAGCGGCGAACGTTCAGCCCAGAGCGGTGCAGCGCATGATGGCGGAGTGGACTGGCCGGCCGTACTGCGCTGCGTTGCAGGATGTTCCCCGAGATACGCGATTTGCGCGCGGGACCTGTTCCTTTATCGGCGCCCCGCCGCGCGCGCTGCGCCAGATCCCCTCCCCCCACCCCCTCCCCCTACCCGCAGCCTTGCCTCATCGCCCGCCGTGCCTTGGCGCTCGAGCAAGTGGAAATGATAAACGCCGGTTGGAGATGCGCGATAATCGCTCCCCGAGATAAGCGTTCGCGCCGCGTTTGCAGTGCGCGTGTTAAGACGTTGTACAGTTCTGTTCCGCTGTCATTAACATATTCTTTACGACGCCTGCGGATCTCCTGGATCTCGCTTCAAGAAATGCGCTAAATTACAAACAAAAGGACGTAACCCTTGAAATGAAGTTCATTTCGAAGGACATTTTGGATGTATTTAGTTGTTTAAAGGTGCGGATGAGATGCGAGGATGAACATACGAAACTTATCTAAATATTCTTTTGAGTTGAGTACAATGAGTTGGCTATCAGCGTACAACTGAGAATTGATGTGATAGGGATCGATTTGGCATCGTGAAAATTTTTTTCTAGAAATTCATTATTTTTCACATGCTTGGTATTAAAATAAATTAAAATTTGAATGCAAATTTTTGCCTGGAAATTATGTACAAAATTATGTAGAAAACATTTATGTACCTCAATCTTGTTCAAGGAAAATGATCAATATAAATAGTTTTTTTTATTTTTATAAACAAAGAAACTTAAAAATGATCTCTCCTTTTAATTAATATTACTTAACATTCATCTATGTTAAAAGAGCATATTTTATCGGTAGCTAAACGATATACTAATTGCTAATGGAGATACCTTTATAAAATACAAAAACTGTACCATCTTTTTTCAAATCATGTTCAAAGCAACATTTTTCCCTTGAAAATGTTCATTCAAAAACGTCCTGAAATAATACATCTCTCATAATTTTCTCTTCAGATACGAAAAGATTAACTGCTGGAAGAAACTAAGCGCATTAGAGTTACTACATTAAAAGCTCAAGTTTTCAAACGCATTCGTATATATTTGTATAAAACTTAGTATAAGATAACAAAGGAAAAAGAACACGCCAGCGCGTGGGGGAGGGGGAGGCCGCGTCACAGCTTCCCGGTCTGCCCCTGGACGCACGTCGCGATCAACTTGGCGATGGCCATGCTGGCGGTGGCGGTTGCCGGCGGCGCCACGCGGCAGTGCAGCACCCTGCGGCACGGAGCGCAACGAGCCGTTGCAATTCAGTTCAGTTCAATTCAATTCAATTCAGTTCAACTCAACTCAACTCAACTCAATTAACTCAACTCAATTGAACTCAACTCAATTGAACTCAACTCAATTGAACTCAACTCAATTCAACTCAACTCAACTCAACTCAACTCAATTCAACTCAATTCAACTCAACTCAATTCAACTCAACTCAGTTCAACTACACTCAACTCAATTCAATTCAACTCAATTCAACTCAGATCAACTCAATTCAACTCAGATCAACTCAATTCAACGACGCCTTATTTCACGTGGCCGTTTCAACTCAATTCAACGACGCCGTTTTTCACCATCTAGCGGAGAAATAAGTAACTCGGGCGATGAAACAGGCGATTTGACATAAGCTCAGAGGGTGCTTTTAGGATTCAGCTCTTTGACGTGCAGTAAATTTACAACATGGGACAGATGGCTTTACTCCGCCTCCGAAGAAAGGATTACGAAAAATAAAATAATTCACTGCCTAGATCAGGGTTGATCCCGTGAACTTGGGTATTCGCCGTTACGCTAACAGTTATAGCTGCAAATCCCACAGGCACGGGCGCCTCCACAAAGGAGGCTGTTTGCAAAGTGCAGAATTTCAGTAGTTAACAAGCCGATATAGAACAAATAACGGACGGTATTCAAGTTTGTACACGGAGGTTTGTAACCATTTAAGCATTATTTGTGATATCGGCTGTGAATCGCTATACACGTTTCGTAATGCCACTTTCTTTGGAGGAAATTTATGTAAATAAATGATTTTTTCGCAATAGGAGTACCAGAAACGACATCTTTAGCAACAATTCGTTTCTTTCCATTGTTCTAGGGTCGCCGGTAATCAAGGGAATCTTTTCAATCTTCTATTTGGACGGGTTACGTCACTATAACAGTTCAGTAATATTAATAAACAAAACTAGCGGTGATACGACGTACATTCTCAGAGTAATGAAGGTCACTAATATAATACTGAAATTTATGTCCGTCTCAACCATTACTTGGAAAACGCATTACCAATCGCGCCAACTGAGGTGCGATAATTTACTTCCAATAAATGTAACATTCTATCCAGAGAAAAACATTATCTAACAAGGAAATTTATAGAATTGACTTCTCAAACGTTAGTGTCGTGGCGTTAGTAGTCTCGTATTGCGGCATGAACTCTTCCATGAATTCAGCCGGAGTCACAATTAAAAAAAAAGACTAATGGCCCCTTAAAGAATGCCACATACATTCTCATTTTATCTGTGACTGATATGTAACATTCCTTCTGTACAATTACCTCTTCAGCTATCTTTCTTATCAACAATAACGAAAATCCATATTTTGGAAAAAATACTGTATGTGAAACGATTTGAAGATACAAATAGATATTGACAAATAGATTGCAACAAGTTAACCACACCCCGAAGTTTATTTTGTACATTAAATCACGCAGACCAAAATTTATTAGTTGAAATAATTATATTATTATCTCAGATATTTTGTTTTTTTGATACAATCCTCCTTTGAACAAGAAATATTTGATACAAAAGAATTGACATGTTGGAGTTGCATTTAGAGTAAGGTAAAAAGGAAAGAAAAAAGGTTAAAGTGGAATGATTTTCCATTAGATATGGAAAATTGACATGGATCTTCTGAGACTCAAATAAGTCTGTCAGCGGAATTCTCTTCTTGAAAGAGCCTATTTCGATCAATTTTGACTGCCCCGAATTTGAATTCATATCTAGCTTTACATAAAGTATCCTAGCATATATCTACAGCTACCGATATCATTGATTTTCCTTTCCAAGAAATAACACAAATATTACGTTCACCTGCTGCATACGTCTCTGTCAGGCACATCCTTGCCCGAAATCTCCAAAAGCAAGTCGTCGAAAACCTCGCCTTCGCTGGTGACTGCCATGGGATACACAATGACGGGCCCTCGTAAGACGTGTTCAGGCTGGATTCTTGGAACGTACTTCTGCAGCCTTTTGATCTGCTTCGAGATATTTACGTGCGACATAACTCCTTTGGTTCCTATTGAGAACTGTGAAGGACGTGTCGCCCAGAAGCCGCGATACGTTGCCATTTCCCACACGTCCCTGAGACTGAAGAAGTGTGACATATTATTCATTAATCTGTTCAATTTTCGTTAAGCAATAAATAAGAAAAATTGTATTCGAAAAAAATATTTACTTCATAATTTGAGATATCTACCTGTCGGTTATTAAAACTATGTTGTTGAACGGAAGATAACAACTGTGTTATCAAAAAATGTTAAAAACATAGTCCAAACATTACTTTCAAATTATTTATTATTACCGTGGATGTGGTTATAGGTGTGTAGAAGATGCATGGAATCTATACATTGCACATTTCTGGACAATTATTTTAACATAAAGCCTTTGAAAGAAACAGAAATGTTTAGCAACTGTGGTGTCATATCAGTCGCCTTGTACAAACGTGACAAAATATTAGTCGTGGGTGGCCACCTGTGAACCCCATAGACCACTTGGGACAAACTTGTGAACCCCGTAGACAGGCTGGCTGTGGATACGCGTCGGCGGAAACAGCGAGATGACGCAGTTCCGTCAGCCGGCCCAGAAGGTAATATAAACGGACCCCGGACCTAAACTCCTTCTTCTGATTCTTGGGCGCGTTGGTAGGAAGTCGTGTGGGCTGTGCGCGGCGCTGCATTTCAATGCATAGGCTACTGAGGCAGGGAACTGAAGCCGGCGTGCTACGTCGAGACGGGAGGTGCGGCATACTCGCTTGTATGCTCACGTAGGCTACTGGTGCATCACACAGAATAAGATATTTAATTATCAGGCCAGCGGTGGTGGTGACGAGGAACATTCCTTCTAGTAACGGGTAAATATTGTTTATTGTAATTATTGTAAAAAATATTCAGGTGTTGGAGCATATTTCAAATAAATATTCAATAAATTACAAACCGTTCACGTCTGTGATTTATTGCCCCGGCAAAGGCGCAGAAGACTTAGGAGGAAGAGAATGGTCGCAGCGGTGGGAAAAAAAGGCAAACTAATCAGGTAGGGAATCGCGTTACCTCAGGTTGGTGATCTTGTACCCTTCCCGCTGGGACGCCGGCATGACGTTGGGGCCGGCGCACACGGAACTGTCGCTGGCCCAGCGCGTGAAGTGCGGGCCCAGGAACGGGAGGCAGGGGTCGGGCACGGGGTAGATGTTGCCTCGGATGAGGTGCCGCGCGCTGCACTTGAGGCGCAGGTAGTGCGCGCGCATCGGGAAGATCATGGGACACTTGTTGCCGCCGGTCATCACCGCGAACCTGTCCAAAGAAACGCAAAGGTTCTGATACGAAACAATATTGGAATTTTTTTATTATATACTTTTCTGATACAGCATGCATTGCCACTAATATTGCATTTGTTGGTTGGTATTTTATTTATATAAATATATTTATATATTTATTTATATAAATATATTTATATTTATATAAAATAAGGAGGGTGACCCCACTGGGCAATGGAAAGTGAGGTGTTTAGGATCTTATGGTTCGTGAAATGAGTGTGGTAACGGGACTTATGATGTGAGGATAGAATTGAAGTTACGGAGGCAAGAATTTATATTTGGGGAATCTAGAGGGGATGCGGTTTAGATGAGAATGTCGGTTGGAAAGGGAGATTATGAAGCTTGTTGAAAAATCTTTCGGAGAGGCGGGCAATGTGGTGGGCTTCTGGTGGGAATTTTAGATCATTTTGAATTTGTACATTTGAAACGTAATAATATTGGAATTGGAAACAATGTTGGAATTCTGCAGACTTGGGGAGTCCCCCGGCCGACCCGGGACAAAATGACGGCAGCGAAGGTGAAGATGGCGCTGGTCCACAGTCAAGTAGTGGCCGCAATGCACTCATGATGAATATTTACCATTAAATTAAAAACAGATCATAACGATGTGCTGCTTTCAACTGAATTCATGTAACAGTGGGTTCGCGTTCGCGAATACCACAAATCAATACCATCTAACCCCAGATACGCATTCTTCCAATATTAATTACTATCGATGTATAATTTAAAATAAGAAAAAGATATGAATTTGGCGTATTATTCTAACAAATTAGAATATTTTTTAGTAACTGAATTATTGTCAATATTTATTTTCCATGAATAACTGAATATCATACAAGCGTGAAAGATAAAATACGAGTAAGGCCTAAAACAACTTTTTAGGAGAAGCAATCAAATTTTAATTTCATTAAATGAAACTACTTACTAGAAATGGCTGTAGTACCCCATTTAATTAGGTCTCATCAGTAAACTACTAAAGTCACTTCGAATGAATATTACCATGCAAGGGAAATAATCGCAATTATTTACTTCTCCTGGAAAATTGTGTTTTATAACTTTTGTCTTTTACCTACCAATATTACCTTAAATATGCGTAGTGTATTGTCAATTGTCATATTATAAACAGAAGGGCCTAAGAGGAGAAAACAGCTAACTGGTTTATGCAGGTTATCCACATCTTTTCGACACGGATAATATAAGTTTGGTCAACACAATATAGATTATTTAATGCCAATACTGATAATATCGAAGCAACTTAATATCTATCGTTTATTGTTTATTTATTGTTTATTTATTTACGTCAAAAACAGTTAAAAACTGTGTATGACGTGCTATGGGAAGAAGTTAATTTGAAGTATTTACTAGGCTGTCCGCGTGACGCCGCGTTTAATTTGAAGTTATATTTATGACCAGAAGCAAAAGAAGGGGCCATCTCAGCATTTGCTCGAGGATCAGGGAAAATGGACGAATACCTGATCGAGATGGAGTCATTGACCCAGAAGCTGAAGTACAATACTTGTTACAGGTTCTTTACAATTATACAATCCAAATGGTATAAAATACATTAAATGCCATTGTTAAAATTAATATTACTTTCCTTTTGGATGCTCAGTATAGTCTCTAATTGTATAGAAAAAGCAGAAAAGATTTTACTTGAGACTTAAATTTTTGTATCGAATTTAATCGTTTAATGTGATCTGGCAAGGTGTTGTAAAATAATGTACATGTATTATATGTGAATATTTTGTAGTGAGCTGTTGATAGTGTTACCTGATGAATGTGATTACTACTATGATATGTGATTATACCTATTCTTCAAATTGCGTCCTACCTGTCGGCGAACATTCCGGCACAAACCGTCACGAAAGAGGCATTCAGACTGCGCTCGTGGCCGAACACGCTGACCGGGAACTTCCTCTTCTCGCACTCGTTGCCCGAGTAGTTCTTGGCGAAGCCGTCCACCCGGAAGCCCGTGTAGATTCGCCCTCCCCGACTGCGAATATCGTCGGCGAAACTCTTGGCCACCGCTTCCCAGCAGACCATTCCGACAGGCACTCGGATGGCCCGGCAGCCCTCGCAGTTGGGCTCCACCCTTTGGATTTCACACAGCCCGTCCAGCAACTTTATGCCGGGGATGTTCATGTAGCAGGCGCGCTCGAAGAGTTCGTCCAAACGCTTGGTTTCTAACTTGTCCGTCGCCACGATGAGTTTGCAGGTTTTTTTGATCGGTACGCAGACGTGTTGACACCACTCGGACAGCAGTTGCCCGCCCTTGACACAGAGCTTCTGTATTTGGGTTCCCGGCGTGCAATAAATTCCGGAGTGGATGAGTCCGGGGTTTCGTGTCGATTGATGAGTGGTCAATTCGCAATCTTTTTCCACCACCGCCAGTTTCAGATAAGGATTCCTGGCGAGTAACTCGCGAGCTGTGGCGAGCCCTAGAATCCCACCTCCCACGACGACGAAATCGAAGTTGCATGGCTTGGCATCACCTTTGAAAACTTTTTGTTGGAGCAGACCCGCGCTTATGGAAAGTTTCCGTTGTGAAGAATATATTTTTCGACGAATAGTTCGAAAAAGGCGAAGAGTGCAACTAGCTTGTGTCATACTCTTCATAGCAGGTTAGCTTTCATACAAGTCCGATGTTATTTCCCTGCAGATTGCTCAAACAACATCGGATAAATATTATCGAATAAAGAAGACCATAAAAGTTTCATTTTTGGCATGATAAAATGCTTTGCTCATGTTCAATTCTGGTGTGTACATTTTCACATTAAACAAAAAACAAAAGAATGCTTTTTACATAGACAAATGCAACACAACAATAAATATTTACATTGAGTTGTAATAAGCGAAAACATGTTATATGAAAATTATGGAAATCCACACTTCTTATAATATGCAAGCATCGATTTATTTCAATCTTCTAAATTACATATTTATCTTAACTATGCTCTTAAAAACGTACAGATTACCTTAAAACACTGAATAGTGTGACAGCAAACTATTTTAAATTTTCTGTACTGCGCACTAAATTGCCTTCATTATATCGTAAAGTACACGCATCGTTCGCCGAGCATTGTCTCAAATTCAACTCGGTATATCTTTATCATCCTTTGCTCGTCATTATAGTCATCACTAAAGGCAATCGCTCTCACACTGGTAGCGTGAACGATCGCTCCGATCTCATTCTTAGCGTAATTTCACACTTAACGAGCTGTATAAAAGGCGAGCGCCCTTCATCATCATTCAAAAGAATCACCTCATCATTAGCTCGTTTATCACTGAACACGCCGCACACATCTGAAACATCGAGATGACGAAGTCAGTTGTCTTTCAGCTCACAAATACACTGGAAGTGCACGGTATGTGAACCTTCGGTTAATTTAGTATTTCGTTAAAAATCCCCATACAAATTGCAAGGCTTTACAGAAAGTAATCAATACGTGCTCGAGGAAAGGAAACCAGCAAAGCTTCGAAAATATCGAATCCCATTTGGCAGGTGGTGTTTTGAAAACGGCATTTAGAGTAACATCGCGGAATTTTTGCATCGCGAAATTTTTAACTTAAATTTTTTTATTAAGCGGCTCTCATTTCAGAGTAACAGGCAGAACGTGTGAGTCTGCAATAAAATGCTTTTATTCTGGACGCCCGGATAGCAGTACCTGTGAACATTTCGCTCTCACGAGTTAAGCAGTCTGAAGGCTGTGAAGAAGTGGAATGTCTAGGACCCAGGGGTTGGCTTGGAGCTACCTTTTACTGCTGGAGGGTCGTAAAGCAACGCCGGAGCGCCCGCCGCCTCGAGACCATTTGTTGAGCGCTGATTCGCGCCTGCAGACGACTGACAGCGCGACGAAAGGCAGCGAGCGAATGTGGGTGTAGTGGTGTGTGATGGTCGGGGTGTGGGAGGGGCAGCACGCGAGATTGAGTGGAAGAGCAGATGGGCGAGTGAATGGATGAGCAAGGGGCAGGTAGGGAGGTGGGTAGGTGGATGAGTGGGTGGGCGGGAGGTGGATGTTTGGGTTTGCAAAACGAACAGTGACAGGCATTGCGGCTTCCACCATTGTTCCTCAACCAACTAATAATAAAAAAAGGTGACACCTGAAAACAATCCGGAAATTACGGAGTATAAAATAACTCCCATTTCAACTTACAACCATACGTATATATTCTCTAGAATATAATACAGTGTAATACCAAGAAGTCAGTTCAAGTTACAAATTAAAGTCCTAAATGATCATCTAATATAATATTCAATTTTGAATAATTTCATCGTAAATAAAACAATGGAACTCAAAAAAACCTGGTTCACGATTCACCCTAGTTTCACCCTCAGTCATATCAATTCCTTAAAGTGACTTTGCAACTGTTAATAAAAGTCTTGGTAACTACTACGTATCTTGGTAAAATGTTCCTTTTGTCTATGAAATCAGAAATTTTCCGAATTTCTCTTTCTCACATTGGAGTCAGGCGTAGTTTTCAGGCTAAAACTACGTTTCTCATTCATTACGAAAAACGTTCATTTTTTTCATAAATGTGATGTGCATCAACAAACAATTTCATTTCCTTTGCAAGAATTGTCTTCAAACTATGGACACACCAATAGATTATTCTGTAGTAGCTACAGTTGTACTTATTTCCAGCACATTCTGACATATCCTGTAGGTATCGAGATAATACCATCTCTTAGCGCAAAAACTCATTAGGTCCGGCAACACAACATAAATACTGAAAGCGGATTCCGCCAACTGCTTCCGTCGCAAACATCCGTCAATTGTTTATACACAACATACTTTCGGTGTTTTGGCTTTAGGATAAATGAAGTCCAAACCCGCTCAGGATGAAATCTTCAGTACGAGTATCCTCTTTGCTCCTTCAAACATCCTCCTTCGCAAACGCAGTTTAACCTTCTCACCACGGCTCGTCGATTCCTTTGGAGCCGACTCTCTCCGCCTGCCTTTCAGCTAGGCTCAGGACCCAACTCCCTTCGGCTGGCGGGATCATGTTCCCTAGCACCGTCCGGCAGCGTTGTCGGCGGCGGCGGCGGTGTATCGTTTCGTATGTCGGACCGCGGCGCCAACAGGTGGGCGCGCGAGAACACGTGTCGCGGCCGCCGCCGCCGCCGCCCGGGCCCCCCGCGGCCGCGCGCCGCAGTGACACGAGTTAATCTTCATTAGGGACCACACACGGGGCGGCCAGGGCTGTCCCAGGTAGCGCGAGGGGCGGGCCGGGGGCGGCAGCGGCCGTCCATCACCCCGGCGGCGGCGGCGCAGGCGGCGGGGGTGTTAATGTTAATTGAAAAGGAACCCCCCGCGGGCCGCCGTCGGGCCCGCCCGCGCCGCCGCCGCCTCGGCCGCCGCCGCCGCCCGAGCAGTGAGTTATGGAGACTGGCTCTCTTTGTCGGTCGCATTAACATGCTCGGCCACGCGCCCGCGCCGCCGCCGCCGCCGCCGCTGCGGCCGAGCCCGGGCGGCGCAAACAGCCAGCGCCAGACGCGTCGCGCCTGTTTGTGAAGTGCTGGGTGCGCTGGCCGCCGCCGCCGCCGCCGCCGTCGCCTTGCGCCACGAAGTGCGGCGCCTCGGCGCATGTGACGATGAGACAGGAAGCGAGAGGATACCGCTGAGACGCGGCGGCGTGGCTTGCTGTTCGCAGACGGGATTTTAAATATAATGGTTTGCCGGCGGACGAGAAATCAGTGTTTCGACCTCGAATGTCGTGTCTAAGAGACACGGCACGTTTTGTGAACACTAGGAGCGTTTAGGCTCGTTTGTTATTTTCGGATAATTACACATGCCATGGGAGTTTTCTCTGAAATTTCTCTTTTAAAATCTATTTTTGCATGTGAAATTCACTCAGTAAGTTGCGAGACAAACTTGGGACGTAAACGACGTAGACAAAAGTGTATTTACTGAACACTTAACATGTATCGTTGAGTACTTCCAACGTTAAAGAACAAAAACCCGTATTCCATTCCATTCTTACGTGATAAAGTCCAGAGTACTGGGTTTACGTCGGCTGGCTGTTACAAATTATTGCACTTCGACCCGGCGAAGTGAGAGCTAAATGAGCATTCGACTGGCGGAATTTCAACCCTAGCTACATAGATACGTCGGATTCAACCGCTGTTTGGAGAAGAATTCCAGCGGTCGCGGGCTCTGAGCGGTAGTTTTCTGTGATTTCTCTGATGAATGCTGGAGCAGTACACTAACAAAAGAGCTTCGAAGCGCGTGCGAGGATCTTCCCCTTCCTTAACCTATCCCCCTTCCATTTCCCTCCATCGAGGCACCCCTTACTTACACACTATTCATGCACTACACTACATATGTGTCACTAGCTGGGGCGGTAACTCGCTGGTGGGAGATGGAAGGATGAAGGAATGGATGGAGGAAATCCCGTAAGCCAATGTGTTGGCCGGCGATGGATCTCACCATCCATTTGGGAGAGAAAACCGCCATCTCCCATGAAGAAACATGCACTACACTAGCAGGACTAATGACCGTAGCAGTTGCCGCGCCCAGAAACACAAAATGATCAATTAGTCTGAACAACCTGACCACGGAGCAATTGGACAATCGCCCCAGGAGCCAACACACGGTTAGGATTCCACTCCACATTCCACTCTTTTTCATTCGCGTACTCTTTTATTACCTCAGCAATGTCGTTTGCAAACGGAAAACCATACAAGCGTTTGTAGTTCCGGCTGGCTACACTACTTCAGTGCCCACGCCATCACCATCGCCAGACCCATTTCCTTCCTAGCGGTTGGCTCCGTCTCCGCCGCCACAGCCATCTCCAACTCCTCCAACTCCTCTTCCTCCACCTCCTCCTCCACCACCTCCTCCTCCACCTTCACCTCCTCCTCTTCCTTCACCCCCTCCTCTTCCTTCACCTCCTCCTCTTCCTTCACCTCCTCTTTCTCCTTCACCTCCTCTTTCTCCTTCACCTCCTCTTTCTCCTTCACCTCCTCTTTCTCCTTCACCTCCTTTTTCTCCTTCACCTCCTCTTCCTCCTTCACCTCCTCTTCCTCCTTCACCTCCTTCTCATCCTTCTCCTCCTTCTCATCCTCCTCATCCTCCACCACCTCCTCCTCCTCCACCTCCTCCTTCTCCGCCGCCGCCGCCGCCATCGTCACCCCCGCTGCGACGGCCGCCAGCTCGCCCTCCGCCTCCGCGCCGCACCGCGTGCTAACGGACCGCGCCGCGCCGCGCCGCGTGCGTGGGTTCCGCTTTAATTACTTTTCCGCGAAGCCGCGACCCTTTTCGTGCCCGACCGGACGCCGCGCCGCTGCACCGCGCCATTCAAATCTGCCGCAGCCAAGATCGAGTTATCCGCAGAGTCGTGGAATGGTTTGATGTCATTCACAGTGCGGGAGACATTCTTTATGAGCTTCTCAATGGCTCGAGAATGTCTGAGTTGACTGAACGGCTATTATAAGTTGTTCTACAACGTAGTCCTAGAACTCAAGCTGGCGAGTGAATGACGGATTGCATTACTTGCAGAAATCCTTGCCAAATCGAACCTAAAAGTATTTCTTCTAGCCTACTCAGCATCATTGTTTATAACATTTTGTAGACCATATAGTAAGAGATTTTGTCTCATTTGTGCGTTGCAGCAGAAAGAAACGCCATCAGAATAAAACGTTTAGGGTATTTTTTCACGTTTTATAGGGCAGGCTTTAAGTCAACATTCTTACAATGAACGGTGGAAATACTACTTTACCGAAAACATTGGATATAAAAGTTTTTATTGTGATACGTTATTGCCTTCGATATGGAGCTCAATGTACACTGCATAACGTACCTGGATCGAGAGGACCGTGATTACGAGAGAAATATCAAAACAGTTGAAAGGTGCTACTTGATCTTTTGTGGAGGGAATTATGAAAAAGAAATATGGGAGTAGAAATGTGAAGAAAAAACGAGTCACGTTAACGCCTAGTTAATTAGTAAATAAGTCAATCTGAATAATTAAAATTACATAAAAAATCATGTATGTAACTGGTTTTAATGATATCGAGCGGCAAAAATCCCGAGAACCAAAGGCCATTAGAACCCTTATAACGCCTACGGTGTATAAATAACTATTTACATCATATACTAAATTAAGTGTTGCTCAAACGTCTTTCCCCTGCAAGAATCTCGTCCCCTAGCAAAATCTTCCCCGTTTGCCGCCTCTTGGCCCCGCCCGCGACCGGGAGAAAGCGCCAGGCCCCGTCCCAGAGCGGCAGCCGTCCGCCTCCGCGACCACGGCCCGGGCGCGCGCCAGGACGACGCCGCGGCGAAGGACCACCGGCGCTCCTGCCTTAATAGCGTCGCGCCAAACGCAGGGAAGCACTTGGCGATAGGCGGTGAAATACGCGTCGCCGCCGCCGCCGCCGCCGCCTTGAATCCGCTCTGGGGACGGCGCCAGGTGCGGGGCACCGAGGCGGCTGGTCCTGCGGGCGGTTGGGGACGGGAAACGCCAAGAATGGTTGCATGAGGGTGGATGTGGGGAGTCAATGCGTTTAAGACTGTGTGTGTGGTTGGATGGATGCGGGGGAGTAGGAGGATGGTGTGCGAGTGTGTGTATGTGTGTGTGTGAGTGTGTGTGTGAGTGTGTGTGAGTGTGTGTGTGTGAGAGTGTGTGTGTGTGTGAGTGCGTGTGTGTGTTGTACGTGAGAGTAAGAGGGTGTGTTGAAGTGGGGGGGGGGTGAAAGTGTGTGTGTGTGAGTGTGTATGAGAGTGTGTGTGAGTGTGTGTGTGAGAGTTGGTGTGTTGAAGTGTGTGTGTGTGTGTGTGTGAGAGTGCGTGACTGTGAGGCAATGTGTGTGTTAGAGTGGGTATGTGAGATGGGGTGTAGATGTGTAGGTGGCGGGGTGTTGGGAAGTAGGAGGATGGTGTGGGAGAGTGGGTGAGGGGGATCGGGAGTGTGAGAGAGGCTGTGGAAGTGTAGGTGGTGGGGTGTGGATGATGATTGAGGAGATAGAGGCGTGAACACAAAAAGCCTGTCAGTAAGGAAAAAGATAAGATATTTGTCGGTAGATAAGAGATCGAACCATATTTAACCAGAGAAAAAAATACTTGAAGGCAATAGAACGAGTGATCGAAGATTGCCGAGTACAGTATACATACGTAATAGCAATGACCCCTGACAGGGATTATTTAAGAAGACTGATAGTCGAGAATATTTTATTTTGTAAAGAATTTCGTTTCGCTGTTTTGTGGAATCTGTGAACAAATTTTTGACTTAAAACTGTACCTCATCGAGGCTTTGATATGTAACCTACCAGCCTTAACATGCTTGCAAGCTCAGCTAACCCTACGTGAAGACCATATACGAGTAGAAAGCTCCAGAAGTACCAGAACTAAGAATGTGTATCGAACACCTCGTCTCGCTTATAGCAAATAGTAAGCTAGGTACGCTGAAGAGACCTCTAACCTACCAAAACATGCGAATTCTTTCCAGCACCTCCATTGGCAGTTTTCTGCCCAATAAAGAAACTTAGAGGATTTGAACACAACGGGGTGCACGAGTACTAAAGGGCCGCTCAGGGATCTCCATTGGCCCTGAACCGCCCTTAGGGAGAAGGGTGATCGCCCTGAAGGGGGCGAGGTGAATGCGGGTCGGCGCGTCATGCGCGTTGCCGAGCCGCGCATCCGGGAACAGGTTATGGGTCACCGTGGGGCGCAGTGGAAGCCCGGAGAAAAAAAAAGTACGCAAGTGAAAATATAATGAATTTTGGGAATAACTGTCTTTAAATCTAATGGGATCGTTTTAACAATAAACAAGGATGCTTATTCACTTAATGCACGGTATTTTCTCAACTCGTTTTTTTCCAACAGAAACACTTTTGTTTCCTCATACCAATATTTCTATTTCGAATTTTATTAGAGTGAACTTTTCTTCGCAATGCGATGTAAATTTCTGGAATCAAATCAGTATTGTGAACTCCATCTCATTACGTAGTGCTGGGGCTGTTACTGCTGAGTAATTATAAATATAAGTTTTAAATGTTGCTTTCATCAAACAAAGCGAAGTGAAGAATCGTCACAAGATTGGATCTAAAAAAATACATGTAAAACTTGGACATACTTTTCATCACAATCCTTCACGTCTTGATTTTTTTTGTTAACGTCTTTCGACATCTAGTACTACTTCACACTTTTTGTAATTAAAGAATTATTTACACAATTTTTATATTTACATTGAAATTATTCACAGTAATTTTTGACACTTAATTTTGTAAACAATTCAATGAAATTGAAGTAATCGCACTTTTTATGTCTCATAAAGTATTCGTGTGTCACATCATTGATGAATGTTTCCCATTCATTATTTTAAATAATTTCTTGTGTTTTAAAACATGATCACAGAAAAGTAAAACACCGATTCTAATAATTCATCGTCCAAAACCATCCAAATATTTTTAAGTAGTTACGTAACTTTTAATATTAGTGTTCACACAGAGGAAGTAATTTAACAAAGGCTGTGATTATTAATTTATTATTAAGATCTTAGTTGATAAAAATATAAAAAAACCAACAAGAACAATTAACAATCCTTTCAATATTAAATTGAATAATACAAAATCAAGAGTTAATATTTATGAACGAAAACAACCTTATTTAACGTTATCTATACATTATTGCAGGTTTTTTGTTAACATAGTTCTTTTGTCTTATATCAATTAAACATCAATATAAACAAAACATTGATGTTAAAAATCGATAGCAAATAACCAATACTACGAATATTGGGTATTTGCTACCGATATCGATATTGATATTGATATTATACGCGCACGTTTTCTTGAGCCGGAAGCCTTGAGCCTTTCTTCGGAATACCTACCCCCACTCCTTTGCCAACATTAGTTGAATTAAGAATAAATTTAGCAGCGAACGTTGTAGACAAAATCTTATTACCAGAATGTTCCCTCGTGTGTAATAGAAACTATTTCGCATCGAAAATGGAACAACAAATTTGCTGAAAAAATTCCTTTCGTCAAAATAACCCAACAGCTCACTCCTCTCGCAAGTAGCGAAGCGAGGGATCGAGAAAACTTGCGCGGATAATACCGGATAATAACTGATAATACCGGATAATAACCGATAATACCGGATACTAACGGATAATACCGGATACTAACGGATAATACCGGATACTAACGGATAATACCGGATAATAACGGATAATACCAGATAATACCGGATAATACTCTAATGCGAATGGGCTGCGAGGGGGTAACGCGTGCGGTGGCGTGCTGCGTGCGCAGGCGGCGTGGGGCCGGCGTCGTCGTGCGACGACGAGGAGTCGGAGACGGAGTCGGAGCCCGGGCTGGAGCTGAAGCGCAAGACGCGCCGCTGCCGCACCACCTTCTCCGGCGAGCAGCTCGACACGCTGGAGCGCGCCTTCCAGCGCACGCAGTACCCGGACGTGTACACGCGCGAGGAGCTGGCGCAAAAGTGAGTACTGCGCCGCCGCGCGGCCTCTTTGCAACTGCCTTTGCGCTTCTTCCACTCTCTCCCTGTTCCTCCTCCATCTCTGCCCAGTTCCATACTTTTGTCCGCCTGCACTCCTCCGACCGTTCCTGCTCCTCTAGCCATCCCTGTTCTTCCTCCATCCCTCCATCTCTTCCCATCTCCACACTTTTATCCGTCTGTATTCCCCCGACCGTCCCTGCTCCTCAGTCCGTCCCTCCTCTTCTAGCCATCCCTGCTCTTCCGCCTGTCCCTACACCTCCGTCCATCAATACACATGCAACTTATGCAACTTATAACAATATAATATTTATTTACTAACGTAGTATTTTCCATGAAATAAAAGAAGCATAAAGATTTAATTTTTAATACTTCTCAATCGAAACAAAAATTACAGAAAAACAGTACTATCGAAGATAGGGTTTATTCTCTCTCTTTTTACTTCGCTTTTTTTGAGTTACAAATTAGTTAGGCTAATAATCAAAGACATTTTTAAAGTTAGTACAAGACAAGATATAAATAGATAGTCCGATTTTAAATAAATTATAACAGGGGTTAGACTGTGTTTTATACCAGACATTTGAAGAAAAAAATGGAATTTGAAATGAAAATTTTAATTTTTTCTCAAAAATTGATTTGCTTCTAATTTATGTGCGGCTGGTGTAGTACTAAACTATACAAAATAAATGAATGGATAAAAGCAATTGTTTTACAATAAAATCTAAATATTCATATTTAAATGAAAATATTTTAAATAATGTATTTTATTCGCTTTCAAATTAAAGTGCATGCTATTTTTCATCATTCCGGCAAGAATTGTTTCTTATGCGTTTACAAGTAGTTTTCTTGAGTTTTGTAAAAGAATTTGAAGAATCAAGTGGGGAAGTTCTTTATATTCAAATCGTTTTTTATGGTTATTAATGGCAATTAAATATCACTGAAATATTAAGAAGAGCAATATTCTTTCTATTGATTATAACGACATCTCCTGTATTCAGCTTTGAAGTTGTGGACGTCTTAAAATGTGTATTACTCCAGATTAGGGATTTAATTCCCGCATTAATTCTCTATTGCAAAACCTACGTCTGCATCCCGCGAAAAACTCTGAAGATTTACGACCGATCGCGACTTTGTCCACCCTACAACGTGTAACTGAATCATAAGTAAGGCTGTGTCAGATAACCTGAGTGTAAGCTATAGAGAATGATAATAAAATTTCTTTAGATGAAACACGAGATGCGTGGCATAAGTAAGTGCGGCCATATTGCATCCTCCTGGTCATTTCCCGCCCTCTAGGTCATCATTACGAGAGTTAATCTGAAGAAGCCCATTTGAACGGGGATTAGGCCGGGCGGATCACCCACGCGGGCCGCCACGTGATGTATCCGGGTGTTGTGTCGGGCCGGCGGCGCGCTCGTCACTGGCTCAGAGCAAACAGGTAGAGATCAGATAAGCCATACACGCGCAAGTTCACTATAGCCGTATTTTCCTAAATGATTTGTAGAATAGCGACGCTTTGTTAGAAATATTTATTCAGGGTTTTTATTTTATTATCTGAATAATGAGATCCAAACAAAACATGCAGAGCAGCACACACTTTGATAAATATAATTGCGTAATTTTAATTTAACATGCTATATGTAATTCAGGCCAATCGTAGACCCTAATCTAGGACCTAAATTGAGTGAATGTAATTTAAATGTAACAACATTTGCATAAAGTGTTTTTCAAATAAAAAAAAGTACAAACAAAGATAAATGAAGTTAACAAATAACCTTCAAGGAATGTGAAAGCTACCTTTGAAATTATAGAATTTTTCGACAACTTTATTGATAAAATAATTAGAATTGAAAGTTCTGCTTTACGTGTTTACACTGAAAATTATGTTTACGCGTGTGTTCAAATAATTATAGACAGAGGATCATATTGCATTACAGTTAAAAAAACGTGTGGACTAATAATTCGTCAATAGCGAATATATATGTGTATATATATAATATAATATTAATATAATATATATATTATATATATAATAGTATATATAATTGATAATAATACAAAATCACTAGACAAAATCTTCACTTCAAACGTCTGAAATCATTGAACTCGCTCTAAAACGTTAATATAAAGGAGGCGTGTGTCTCACAAGTTGAAGTAAGTAAAGAGGTTAATTCAGAGCCTGGAGGCTAGAGGGGGACTCGTCGGGTAGCGATTCGTCAGCAGGTGCGGGCGAGCGGCGCGGGCGAGCGGGCGCGGCGAGCGGCGCGGGCGGGCGGCGGCGGCCGGGCGGCGCGGGCGGGCGCGCCGTGCGGTGATTAATGGCAAACGGATTCTGCGCGCCGGCCGAGGCCGCGCGGGCGTGGCGCGCGAGGCGCTTCGCGGTGGCGGCGCGACTCCCGGTCGTATTTCTCACGCCGGCCGCGGCGCCGCCTCGCACACGCTCGCTCCCGAACCTCAAAGGCGCCGCCTTCCCGCGGCGCGCGCCTGACAAACGCCGCCGAAATTTACGACGCGCCGCCGGGCCGGGGCGGGGAGCGACGCGGGCGAGGGGAAGAGAGCCGGGGAGTGCGGGGAGGCAGGATGACGTACGGTGAATCGGGTGGCCGTGTGTTCGGGCGAGATGGAGGGACAGTAAAAGGGGGGCAGGGCGAGGCAGGGCAGAGGCGGATTTAGGCGAGGAGGAGGGGCTGGGTGGGACGATGGCGGGGAGAGAGAAGGCAGGGCGAAGTCAGAAGAGGCATCATTGAAAGAGGGAAAGAATACGACCGGCTTCGCGGTCCCGAGTTCGACGACTTTTAATAGCACAAGGAAGGGAGTCGGACAAATCGAAGGGAAGAGTAGACGCGTACGATGCAAATTCGAAGCGAGGACGGGCAAAGATGCAGAACAGGTAGGCATGCGAAGATATAATTCAAGGGAAGAGCAGAGAATGGAAAGGGATGACAAGCAAGGAGCACTGCAAGAATTGTTACTCGGTGGTGTTACATAAACTCGGAGGAGCTCCAATGCCGTGTTGTTACACAAACGCACAGAGATATTCATTAATCTATTCCGCGTAGAATTTTTTCTCTCTGCCTCTGACCAATGGTGTTGATTATGAACGTGTCGCCAACGATACGTTATAGGAACAGGAAAATTACTAGACTCACAATATAAATTATCCAGTAACAAAATTCTAAGCATATGAGAGTTAAATTAATAAAGTGAATACATACAATTCGTTTAGCAACTTGTGCTGAGAACTGTGGTATCGTCGCGCTCACTCAGATTGCAAATTAGTGTTTCGTCATTTATAGCTACAACAAAAAAAAAAGTAGGAAATATACATGCACATAAACTCGTGTAATGTTTCAATAAATAATGAATTTCTTGGGGAATTTTTTAGGTTTGAATTTGTTTTTAAAATTTTGTACGATGTTGTATTATAATAAGAATTAAATTTTGCTTTTCGAAGGTAAAAAATCAGCCGGATTTTTCCTTGTGCAAAAGTGCCCTCAAACAAAAAAAATAACTACGAACCGAGCCAATAATGTAACATTTATTGGTATACTGACATTTTGGTTATATTTTATGCTTCCGTCTTTTCTTTCAATCCTATATTCATGGAGTGTTTCTTTTGTCTACGAAGCACAACTTCTGCAGTCTATTGTAATAATATATCAGGCCCAAAACGATTAGAAATTTAGATGTTGAAAAGAAATAGTCACACCTCTTATCTTCACGCTAATGTTTCTCCAAGGAACATAAACAGGCTACCTTAATTAATTAGTGCATAATCGAAGCAGCAATAAACTACTTTTTATATCATAAACCAGTTAATTAATTTCTCCAAATTATCTTCTTGACAAGGGCCGCTCGTGCGTTTAATAAATGTAAAATACCCCCAATTACTCTTTAGCGTAAACTCACGTTCATTCAGCAACTTTATTGGCTGTGTCACACCAGATGGAAAGCATATTATTTCTGAAAGTACCTCCCCCTGCTATTTACCGCCGACAAAGAGTGAATTCATGGACTCGCGCTGTAGAAGGAAGCGTCAATGAAGCCAATGATAAATATTTGATATCATTAAAAGGCACTCGAAGAATGCCACGCGTCGAACGCGCTATTAATTTCCGAGGAAGTCACACATCAGATCCCGTGTCTGCTAATAGCAGGCTCTGTGGGCGGCTCAAAGAGGCCGGTCAACGGTCACAGCGATAAATCAGAGAGGCGAACGGCTGCAAAGGGAAGAAAAAAAAATCAACACAGAAAGAGAGAAGGTGAAAAGAAACAGACGTACGGGGAAAGGGAAAAAAAGGGGGGGCGTGAGGAGAGGACACGGAGAGCGAAGGCGAGACGCGGCTCGGCGTCTCTCACGAGAGCTCCACCGCCGCCGCTGCCGCCGCCGCCCGCGTCGCTCGCGACGCCTCGACGCGTGACCCCAGCCGCCATCTTGTGACGTCACCGACGCCACAATGCGCCGCGATTTTGCGCTCGCCCATATAAAGCGCGGCGGGAGAAAAAAGGGCCGCAGAGTGCGGGGACGACGACGGCGGCGGCGGCGGCGGTGGTGGCGGAGGCGGCGGCGGCGGAGGTTCAGGGCGTGGGCGACGGCGTTGTGTCGATGAGTGAGAGTCCCAGTCGAGGACGGGCGACACGAATTGTCGATGATCGTCGCCGACGGTAGTGAATGTGACAAGCCGGCAATGCGGCAACCGGTTGAACAAAGAGGAAAATACCCACTGGCCCTGTGATGTGCACTAAAATATGAGAAGTCTTCACATTCTGTAGCACGTTCTCCAGTTACTCAAGACGGAACCTCCAACAAGTTCTCAGTCGAAGAAACTACGTTAATTTATCCTATAGTATATTTCCACTTTGACATATGTAGGAAATTATGCAAATCAATGTTTACAAAACAGTCCAAACGCTTTCAGAAAATATCTCTCACCATTCCACCTCAGTAATGACATATTTCCTTTGAAGACACTCAATTATTCTCA